ACTACGGTGAAGAAGTTTCCATTCTATTACCAAAGTTTCCATTCAACAAACAGAAAACATATATGCGGTGAAGAAGTTAGATACCTTTAGTTTTGGATTAAAGAAATTGTGGTCCTCCATTTAAGGTAAACTAGGTTTTGACACATGCCAAGCGTGTGATTAAATGATTAAATTTGTTTTTTAATTATGTATTAATGGGCTTATATTATAAAATTAATAAGAATATGTAAGGATTTCCACCAAAGCATATAGTTTTAATTCATTGGTTAATTTAAATTACATGTTCCTTAAGACCCTCATTGAATGATACATATGATTTTTCATCTAAGTGTCTCTTCAATTAATATATAGAGGATGTTTTGTTTAAAATTATCATAATAAATGTTGTAGGAATGTGATAAGGTCAATGCATTGCATGAAATGCTTCAAACCGGTAGGATATAATGCAACATATATTTAGGAACATTGATGTGTCAACTCAATATATGTATGATTCTTTGAATTCAAGAAAAATGATAGAAGAAGAGAACGATGATCTTGACTTAAGTAATGAATACAAATATGATGAAATCCTGACTGCGAAGACTACATTCCTGAACCCTTAGATGAAGATGCTCAACAGTCAGAGTTTAGTCTCATGCATGTATGTTGTATGCCCAAATAATTAATAATTTGAGCTATTAAGAGTGTGTAAATTGTTTATGCTTCAACATCATCTTTAAAGATGATCGGCTTCTGCACCCTACGATGATATATAACTAACATGATTTATGTCGGCAACCCATGTGCCCAAGAAAGGGGTATAGGATGGAAGAACATTCAAAATCAAATATACTAAAATACATTATATACTATAAATATGTTCTTTTTAATACTAGGCTGACAAATCGTTCTATAAATAGAATAATACAGTAGCCAACAAAAGTAGATGAACTGTGATAATCAAATGGAACCTTAATCGAAAGTCTTAGTAATATTTCTTACCAAAGGTAGAGATATGATTCATGAATGACATTCGTGGAGAAATCGCCGAAAATGAGCGGTCGAGATCGCCGGTCTTAGAAAAATTATCGTGAATCTTCAAAAATAATAGTCGGTTGCCAGAGAAGAGTCGCCTAAGAAGAGTCGTCGATCGCCGTAAAAGTGTCATCGGTCGTCGGAGAGGAACTCTGGCAGCTCGTACTTTTATGGGTCCACCGAGGCAGCTCCGACTCCTTTTTTCGACGATTTCTAAGGTTTATGAAGTGATAAAACGCAAAGCATATCATACCAACAACCAATATAATAAGTAAAACGATTAGGATATCCTTACAATTTATCTTCTCAATTGGAAAATTAGAGATAACAAAAGCTTAATTATGCAAAAAAAATATTTGACACCTTATAGAAGAAATCAAAGAGAAGAGGTGAGGTACCATTTATAACAATTCAACAGTTGTCAACCATCAAAAAATAAAGAAGAGTTGTTTAGCAGATGACATGCGTCACTTGGACCAATAATTGAACGAACATTCAGAATGCAGAAAAAATGGCGTGTTGTCATAGAGATTTTGAGGTACAAGCCTGAAACACACAAACTCATAGTAATTGTTACAATAGGTTCTAATAATTTCATTCAACGTTCGAATATTCTCGATGAAGATTTTAACTATGACGTAAATATAGATGTAAAAACGCAAAAATAATACGCAACTAATGAAGATAATATCACTTTAACAAAAGATTATGAAGCAATGATGGAGTATCTATGAGAACAATTCGTAATCAAATTGCAGATATTTTATGTGTTGATTGTGGAAGTTGAAACTCGAACAATATAATTTGTCTTAGGGTTGAGGAACAGAAATTTCAAATATATGAATCACGGAAAGCAAACAATGAGAGAAGAGAAGATAATTGTTTATTATTGCTGTTTATGTGAAGCTGTTACAATGGTTTCTCTATAAAAATGGTTTATCCCCTTCAATTAGGGTTTACAAACATATTTATAGAGACCCTTCACGACTAGGGTTTCGGTTAACGAGATAAGGAAGCTTTCTTTATTTTTTAGGATCCTCTCTCCGCAGAGTCGGTTGCACGTCGTGGGCTTCTCTCTGAGGCTTGGTCCACTGTTTGACACTTCGGCCCATTTCCCGCGGCTCGGCCCATTGCTGTTTGTCATCATCTT